CGGGTCATTACAATCTCCACCTTCTGGGTTCAAGTGATTCTCCTGCCTCAGCCTCCTGAGTAGCAGGGATTACAAGCATGTGTCACCACACCAAGATAATTTTTGCATTTTTGGTAGAGATGGGGTTTCACTATGTTGGCCAGGATGGTCTTGAACTCCTGACCTTGTGATCCTGCCTGCCTCAGCCTCCCAAAGTGCTGGGATTACAGGTGTCAGCCACTGTGCCTGGCTGTATGCTGAAAACTATTAATATTTGCTGAGACAATGTACAGACAGCCTAAACAAAATGGAGAAATATACCATGTTCATAGATTGGAAAACTCAGTATTATTAAGATATAAATTCTTCTCAAATTGGTCTATAGATTCAATGTGATTCCAGTCAGCATTTTGTATAGGAATTGGCAAGCTGATTCGAAAATTTATAACCAAGTGCAGAGTACCTTGAATATCCAAAACAGCTCTAAAAAGAACAAAGTTGGAAGCCTTAAGCTGCCTGACTTCAAGACTTAATATAAATCTAGAGTAATCAAGAGAGTATAGTATTGGCATAAGAATAAATATATAGACCAATAGAATGGAAGAGAGAGTTGAGAAATAGACCTACATTTACATGATCAATTGACTTTGTCAATAGTAAGATAAATTCTGGGGGAAAACAAATGGTGCTAGAACAATTGAATAGTCACGGAAATAAATAAACATGGAATTTTAACTCCCCTTACACAAAAATTTTCTTGAAATGGACCATGGTCTTAACATAAGAGCCAAAACACTATAAATCTCTGGATGCAAACATAGAAGAAAATCTTTGCAACCTTGAAGTAGGCAAAATTTCTTAGGACATAAAAAGTATTAACTATAAAAGAAAATTATTGATAAATTGAGCATCATCAAAATTAAAATATTCTCTTCAAAAGACACCACTAATAAAATGAGAAAGTGAGACATATACTGAAAGAATATATTTGTAAAATATAAACATAATACAGAACTTGCAACCAGGTATAAGAATTCTTAAAATGTAATAAAAATACTAATTAAAAATACAAAATTTTTAAACAGGCAAGACTTAAACACTTTCCAAAAGAAGATATATGAGTGGCTAATAAGTATAGAAAAAGATGCTCACCATCATTAATCAGGAAAAAAATATAAATTAAAACCACCAGGAGATGCCAGTGCCCATTTTTAAAACAGTAATGGCAAAAACTGCAATTCCTTTTGCACCAACCTAATGTTTACCCAAGATAAATGAAAATCTACCCTCACATAAAACTTGCAGATAAATATTATTAGCAGCTTTATTCTTAATTGTTCCAAACTGAAACCACTAAGAGTATCTATGGTCATCAATGAGTGTACCCTCCAGACGTGTTCAGCAGGCAGCCTCTAGTGATTATCTCCTCTGCCTCAGCTGCAGAGAGAAATCTATGTAGAGGCCATGTCGTTCTCAGGGCAGCCTACTTCTTCCTATTTGTTGAGGAAGGAGTGGGTATAAAGGTCTGGCCTTTTGGGCTCTATGCAGGATATTCTGATGGGCAATATTTGCTCTAGAGCTCCATGCCTGGTTGACTGATACTTTGTTGGGCTGCATTGCAGTTCAAATTCTTTTGCTCTGTTCTCTTTCCACTCCCTTCTTTTCACATATATTAATCCCTATGAAGCCCTTATAATTAAAACACAATCTCACTGCCTGCTTCTGAAATGTGCACTCTGTGATGGAGACCCAGCCTAAACTGGCCTTCCATTAGCATGGCCACTTTCCATTGGTGTCAAGTCATCTTATTCTAGTCCAGGCCAACTGGTCACTCATGCTCATAATGAACTAAAAACTATGATAGTACTTAACAGAAATCCCAATTGGGAGGGGCCTGGGAGGATTTATGAAGAAATACAGCTCTGATACTTCAGACCTGCCAGGAATCAATATTTTATGGCTTTCTCGGTAAACTTATTCTTATATTACTGTTTGTAAATAAAGCCAGAAGTTTTTCCATAGTGCTGTTTCTCCAGAGAGAGATTTTATGAGTATTTCTATATGGCAATACCTAGAAACTGAAATTACCATTCTACTCCTTCCTTTTTTGTCCTGGAAAAAGAGAAGTCTTTGCCTGTTTTCTGTAAGAAAAAAGGAAATCTGGCATACTTTTCTTTCTTAGCTCTTAAGTCTCTGAATACCACTAGATGGAATATAAATGACTGTGTAACCTCCTTGCAAATTTTTTCCTTGCAATCTAACTCACAGAAATCTTGGAATTTACTGAAAGTTAAACCTCACATCATTGACAGAGGCCAATGATTAAAGCTTTTATTGATATTTCTTGGTGTTCTCCAAATTTGTTGGATGGTTCTGTTCTCTTATTTCTATGTATGTGGCTCAAATAACAGCAGGGACTGTCTCTTGGATACAAAGCAGAGACAAAATAAATGTATTGGTGCTGTTTAATAAGTGTTCAGATACCATGTAATAAGCTTCTCCATGCACACCCTGGGGAAAGTAGGGGTCTCTCAATCTCCATGTGTTCCTGGGCTCCTGGCCTCATAGCCACTGTGGCTGTGTAGGGACATACCAACAGGCTTCAAAGATTTCAGGCCAGGCAGGTAGGTTTGCAGTACCCCGTATCTGTGTACTGAGGGTATGGCTGCCTCCAAGGAGCAGCGTTGGGTGCAAGGGACATCCTTTACACTAGAAATGCCATATACTGGCTACAAGAAGGCATAGAATTGCATTTGCCTTTCTAGTAGTGGTGTGCCCTTAAAATAGACATCTAAAACAGTGACTCTGGCTGGGCACAGTAGCTCACATCTGTAATCTCCACACTTTAGGAGGCTGAGGCAGGAGGATCACTTGAGTCCAGGAGCTTGAAACTAACCTGGGCAACATAGTGAGACTCCATTTCTACAAAAATATTTTTTTTTTTGGGGATGGAGTTTCGCTCTTGTTACCCAGGCTGGAGTGCAATGGCGCGATCTCGGCTGACCACAACCTCTGCCTCCTGGGTTCAAGCAATTCTCCTGCCTCAGCCTCCTGAGTAGCTGGGATTACAGGCACGTGCCACCATGCCCAGCTAATTTTTTTTTTTTGTATTTTTAGTAGAGACGGGGTTTCACCATGTTGACCAGGATGGTCTCGATCTCTCGACCTCGTGATCCACCCGCCTCGGCCTCCCAAAGTGCTGGGATTACAGGCTTGAGCCACCGCGCCCGGCTTTACAAAAATATTTTTAAAAGTAGCTAGGTGTGGTGGCGCATGCCTGTAGTCCCATCTACTCAGGAGGCTGAGGTGGAAGGATCACTTGAGCCCAGGAGATTGAGGCTGCAGTGAGCCACTGCCCTTCATCCTAGGTGACAGAGCAAGACCCCATCTCAAAACAAACAAAAAAATAAAACAGTGACTCTCAGACTTTTTTATTTTTAAGTTCTGGGGTATATGTGCAGGGTGTGAAGGTTTGTTACATAGGTAAACGTGTGCCACGGTGGTTTGCTGCACCTGTCAACCCATCACTTAGGTATTAAGCCCAGCATGCATTAGCTATTTTTCCTAATGCTCTCCCCCCAACCACCACGGACTTTCAGACTTTAATGTGCAAGAGAAACAATTAGGAAGCTTGATGAAATGCAGGTTCGCTGGCTCCAGACCCAGAGACTCTGAATTCCATAGATCTGGGCTAGGACCCAGGAGTAAGCCAGCTAGGAATTTCTAATAATGATTATTTAGATTCACTGGCTACGGTTTATTTGGCTGAACTAAATGAATAATAAGGTACCTTTGTGCACCAAGAGTCTCTGAACCAATCAATGGTCTCTTCTGCAGTACCTACAACAACTTCCTCAGTCCTTCCCCACTAACCGTTCACGCCTGTGGCAGACTTAAGCACAGGCACAACATTCAAAAGGCATGGCAAAAAGTCCCCTTCTCTCCCCAGTACCCAGTCACCAGTTCTGCTTCCTGGTGGCATCTCCTATTACCATTTCTTACGTACTTTTCCAAAGATATTCCATGCATTTACAAAAATAAGTACAGACATATATATTTTTCCTTCCCACAAATAACACACAAAATGCTCTGCACCTAGCTTTTTATTTTTCTTTCAGTTAGTATAGGTTGGAAATACTTTTGTATTAGCACATAAACATCATCCTTTTTTTAGGAGGCTGGATAGCAGAGGTGGGTGGATTGCCTGAGCTCAGGAGTTTGAGACCAGCCTGGGCAGCCTGGTGAAACCCCATCTCTACTAAAAATCCAAAAAATTAGCCAGGCGTGGTGGTGTGGGCCTGTAGTCTCAGCTATGTGGGAGGATGAGGCAGGAGAATCGCTTGAACTGGGGAGAAGAAAGTTGCAGTGAGCCAAGATTCTGCCACTGCATTCCAGCCTGGGCAACACAGCAAGTCTCGAAATGTTTTGATTTTTTGGTGCAAGATGCTACTCCATATATTGGATTTGCAGTTAAGTAAGCCTGAATATATTTTCATGTGCTAGGGTAATACTGCATTTAATATCCTATAATCCATCTCTTCATATCTTTTGAGATAGTCTTTTCCTATTTTTTTATAAAGTTGACGCTGGCATCAACACACACACACACAGACACTCACACACACACGCACACACACACACACACACGTCCCTGTCCATAAATTTATTAACCCCGATATGGAATCTTGGCTTTGCTACGTGCTACGTGCTTCGTGACCTTGGGCAAGTTACCTGGGATAGGGTCTTGCTTGTCAGCAGGGTACAGGACCAGGACGACACTTTTAAAACCAGGGACACGACTTGGACGTGAGAGTCAACAAGGTACACGGCACATTTCTCCGCGGGAAACTCCTCCTTGGGCGCCGAGGCCCGGACGTCGGGAGGAAGCTGGGCCTGGCTCCTCAAAGCCCGGATTCTCCCTTTTGAGACCTACAATCAAGAAAGAAAAATCTAGCAAAGAGGGGGCCCCTTTCTGCGGCGAGATCCGCCCTCTCGGCCGCTCCTCCCGCTCCCAGGCGCCCTCCCTACCCAGCGGAGCGCCGCGCCGCGGCCCGGGCAGACAGACGCGCGTGCTGAGGCGAGGCCCGGGGGGCAGGGGTGGGAGAGGCGGAGGGTGGGCCCCGCGGTCACGTGAGCCGGACCAGCTGTTCCGGGGGGCGGCGGGCCCGCGCGCCGGGAGTCTGGGGAGGGGGAAGCGCCCGGCGGCCGCCTCCGCCACTGCAGCTGCAGCCCTCGATGTCGCCGCAGTAATCCGGCCCCGGCAGCACCCGCACCCTCGGCGGCCGCAGCCTCAGCACCGTAGAGTGGAGCTCGGAGCTTGGAGCCCGGAGTCCGGCGCCCCAGGTGAGCCGCGGCCGGGAGCGCAGGGCGTTTGTAGGGCTGCCTCCCCGGCGGGTTTCACCCACACCCGCCATCGCCACCTCCTGCTCTCCCTCCGAACCCGCGGATAGCGCTAGCCCAGGCCGATTCTCCCCACCCCTGGTGTTGGCTGGGGCGGGCTGGGGGTCAGAGGAGAGGTGGCCTCCGCCTGCGGCCGGGGTGACTCGGGCTCGGGGGCTGCAGGGGCTGAGGGGGCTGCGGGGGTGCAGGAGAGGGAGGCCCGCCTCGGGCTCCCGCACCGCAGCCGGGTTTCCCGCTCTCCACACCCCAACCCCATCCTTCCCCCCGCGTCCCTGGAACTCCTGTAGCCCCCCGAGGCTGCTCTTCCTGGGTTTCCTTTTCCTGGCAGCCAGTCTGCTCTCCGCTGGGGTGCGCCTGTGCGCCCCTGGCCCGCCACGTTCGGGTCCGGCGCGAGCCGGGCACCTTCCCCGAGGTGCCGCACCTGCCGCGCGGGCGGGCGCCGCGAACATGGCTGCCCGGAGACGCCCGCCGCCCTCGGCCCGGTTCTGCCCGCGCGTCCCCACCTCTCCCGCGGCCGCCGTACCGTGTCCCGAGACTGCCCTCCCCGCGAGGCCGCCGCTCGCGGGCCGCGGCTGGATTCTCCGCGGGTCGCGCGTGGGACTTGACACAACTTCCCCTGAGCCGCACCCGAGCGTTCTCCGCGGGGCGCCCCCGGCGGGTTCCCGAGGTGCGGATCGCCCAGCGCGGCCGGCGTCGGCGTCCTCAGCTCGCTAGCTTGTCTGCCGAGGCGTCGAGTCTTTGGCGACCTCACTCGCGAGGGCCGCGACGAAGGTGGTCTGCAAGGCGGGAGGGCCGCTTGAACTTCAGAGAATGGACGACCACTCGGATTTGGGAATAAAAATGTCCGAGAAAATATCGAAGGAAACTCATCTGCCTTGACTCAAAGCTGACCTTGTTGGGTTCTGTTAAATAACGCGGCTTTTCAGGATTTTCTGTCTGATTCTAGCTTGCGAGTGCCTTGACTTACACTCGTGTCCGGCAGCCCGGTGGGGTGCGTGAGTGCGTGCGTGCGTGTGTGTGTGTGTGTGTGTGTGTTGTTGTGTTGTGTTCCGAGCCTGGCTAGAAGATGCATCACTTGCAGAGGAAACCTATGCTAATTCAAAATGGCAGCATGAATAAAATCAGGCCAGGCGGAAGCAGCACAGACTACGACCATCAGCTGTCCCTTGACTTAAGTCTCAGTGAGGGAATTAGTGGGAGTCAAGGCTCATCCGGGTACGGAGTAGGGAGTAATTTTTGGAGCTGGTTAGATTTTAGGGTGCTGCAGGGCCCTGGGGCATGTTAAGTGGGAAGTTTGGAGAGCTGTAATTCTTTTTCCTAACTTATCAAAAGCTGATACAAAACCTAGTTAAAAGTCTACGGTTTTGATCCGATTTTCTCCAGGCTCAACTAAAGTTGACTCTGTGGCTGCTGATATTTTTTTGATGCACAACCTCGACGTTGTTTGATGCCTATAAGCTCTTAAGAGAGATGAGTGCACAGTGTAAACATCACCCATAACAAATACCAGGTTCTTAGAGCAAGTTTCGTTGGAAGAACTCATTTAGAGACACGAGCCAGCAAGCATCCAGGCATGAGGAAATGGGAAATTCTGGAAAGGTGACTCATTATAGGATTTTTTTTTTTTTTTTTTCACAGCCTTTCTTTCCCTTTTCACTTCGGTGCTGCCAGCCATCTTGTCTTTTGGGAAGGAGGAGATGTGTGAGGAGGCAAATGCTTCAGGGATGATGGAATAGAGGAGGATGAGATAAGGTCGGAGGTGGGCAGAACCAGAGGCAGCCTGAAGGAGCATACTGTGAACCCCCTTTTATAGCAGGAAGGCTGAGGCCAGCGGGGCGAATGGACGACAAGGTCATGTAGCTGGCTGGCAACTGGTAGTGAGGACCCAAATCCAGGTCTCATTACTCCCCAGGGTTCCCCATGCTACCTTTTAGAGACTGGGGAAGAAGAGCAAATCTGTCATTATTAGGAAGGCAAACACTTCAAGCAATGGGACACCAAACTGTAATAGGAATTATAAAGTCTACAGGTGTTTAAAGTCAGGGACAACACTTAATTTCCTAATTCAAGACGTTTAACTTCTTAAGCTTTACCTATCTCATGTTCACATTTTCCAGTGGTGAGACTGCTTCTACAGTTAAGAACCAAAAACATTATTTTAGTAAAGTCTTTGAGGCAAGAAGTACATTCTTTGATTAAAAATTTGGTTGCCTGTGTTTGTAGAAGCCCATCAGGCCAGTTTCTTTTGAAAAGGAACCGAAGTGGGCCATGTATTTCACTTCTTTTTGACTGTTTCTAATTTTAAGTAAAAGTAAATAACAAGCCTATTTTAAACATAACTTTGAAACAGCAAAGACAGAGGCTTTTCCTATAATTTGCATTTGACTTTTCTGAGTCATGAGTCAGTGATCTTAAATCTACTAAAGCAGAGCTAGAAATTGTGGATGGGTTAGTGCTTGTGCGGAGGGTGAAGATACGGAAAATGTTTCTTCTGGGCATGTGAACCTTCACAGCCAGCCATGTGCAGAGAGAGAAGGTGGCAGGAGTCAGGGAATAGGCAGAATGTCTTGAGGCAGTGGAGCAGATAGGAGCTAGATGTGAATATATATGTCAAAGTGAAGACAGATGCTGATGCTACATGTGCCATTTAGAAAAATAGCTTGTATTAGAGAATGAATGTGAAGATATGCCAAGGATATTTAAAATAAAAAGTTGTAAAAATACAGAAATGCATACAATTTGTGTCTGTTGAAGAATAATAAGAATACAGATAAGCAAAAGTTATTATTTTTTACATCCGTTTTCATTAGAGAGTCTAGGTCTGTGCTGTCTCATCTGGCAGCCACCAGCTCATGTGGCTGTTGAGCATTTGAAATGTGGCTGGTTTGTATTGAGATATGTTGAGTGTAAAATACACACACAATTTCAAAAATGTAATATGAAGAAAAAATTTAAAACATCTCATTAATAGTTTTATATTAATTTTATATTAAAGTAATATGTTGGATATATTGGGTAAAATATATTATTAAAGATATTTTGACCAGTTTCTCTTTACTTTTAAAAACGTGGCTACTAGAAAATATAAAATTGCAAATATGGTTTGCATCTGTCTTGCATTATATTTCTTTCTTTTTTTTTTGAAACAGGGTCTCCCTCTGTCACCTAGGCTGGAGTGCAGTGGCACAATCTTGGCTTACTGCAATCTCCGCCTTCTGGCTTCAAGCGATTCTCTTGCCTCAGCCTCTGGAGTAGCTTGGATTACAGGCACATACCACCACAGCCTGTCTAACTTTTAGTAGAGATGGGATTTCACCATACTGGTTGAGCTGGTCTCGAACTCCTGACCTCAGGTGATCTGCCTGCCTCAGCTCCCAAAGTGCTGGGGTTACAGGTGTGAGCCCCTGCACCCAGCCCTTGCGTTATATTTCTAGTGGTTTTTAACAGGAGCTGGAGGGTGACTGAGCTCATGATGCTGTTTGTAGAACTTGGTATATAAGGAGAAGCTTGAACAGAAACTGGAAAGGGAACAGATGGATGGAGAAGGACTATAAGAAGTGAGTGATCAGGGAAACTGTAAAGGGAAACAGGGAGTATGTGGTGGGCTGCGACTGCTGATTATGAGACTATGGAGCAGAGTAAGCAGACTGTGCAGTGATCCAGGACTTGGGGACAGTGAAGGGTCAGGGTCTATGGTGGTAGGACTGGTAGGATGGAGAAATGGCATGGCTGACGCAACTGCACAGGGCTTGGAAAGTAACTTCCCCATTCTGACATGTCTGTGTTCACATATCGAAATGAGATGAACGCATCCCAGTACAGAGAGAGGGCCCTGGTTGCAATTTAGGAGACCTGGACCTAGCTCTACTCCCTTCTCTAATTAGGAGTTTAGCCTTGGGCACACCACTTATCAGTCTCCTTCCTTTTAAAATGTGATGAACAAGAGCTGTCCACCAACTTCTCTGGTCATGTTTAATTTGTTAGATTTGGCCAAATTACCCAAAGTTAAGTTTCCCCACCCAAGTCAAGACTGCATACTATCAAAGTTTTAAATCTTTGTTTACCTTATATATTTAAATGGAACCTTATTTTAATTTGTAATTCTTTGTGAGTGAGAGAAATGTTTTCTAGTAACTATTTTGGCTACTTATATTTATTCTTTGAACTGGTAGTTATATATTTTGCATATTTTTCCTTTGAGGCAGCCATCTTTTTCTTATTGGTAGGTAAGAGCTCTTTATATATTAAGGGAAATGATCTCTTTTTCATGTATGATGCAAATGTATTTCCTAGTTTCTCATTACAAAATTTTTACCCCACAAAAATTTTAAGTTATTTTATAATCAAGTCTATAATATTTAACTTTAATTATTGAGTTTATTTTTTGCTTGCTAATGTTATTTTTAAAATTTATCAGTATGATTTGTGTTTTGTGGTTTTAATTGTAAAAATTTAAAATTTAAAGTTACAATAATTTATTTTGGTCTAGGAGTGAATTGGAGATCTCAAAAGACTTCTTTTTTCTCTGTTGCTCAGGCCGGAGTGCAGTGGTGCAATCCTGGCTCACTGCAACCTCCACCTCCTGGGTTGAAGCATTTCTTGTGCCTCAGCCTCCTGAGTAGCTGGGATTATAGGTGTGTATCACGACACCCAGCTGATTTTTGTATTTTTAGTAGAGACAGGGTTATGCCATGTTAGCCAGGCCAGTTTTGAACTTCTGGCCTCAAGTGATCCACCCACCTAGGACTCCCAAAATGCTGGGATTACAGGCATGAACCACCATGCCTGGCCAGTCTCAACCGATTTCTTTCTTCCTTTCCTCCTCCTGTTATAGTCAGTTATTCTGGCAATACCTATTGTCTAAGACTTCTTTGATCTCAGTTTCAAATTCAGTCTTCATCATATGCTAATTTCCTACATTATATGGCTATATTTCAGGAATC